GTCGAACCACGGGTCGAGCCACGGGTCAAGCCACGGCAGCGACACGGCGTCGCAGGAGATGCCGCCGAGCGGCGCGAGACCCCGAAGGAAGTCAAAGAACTCTGAAGACAAGCCCTCGTCTCGTCGATCCTCGAAAGGAGACTCCTTAAGTGATATTTCCGTTTCAGATTTTGGGTCTGAGTCTGGGCGTGGGCCCGACTCCGGCATCGCGGCCCAATAGGGTTTTAATTGGAGTGTTTGAGTGAGAGAATATGCTATTCGCCTTTGAAAAGCTTTAGGGAGGGAGACATGGGAAAATAAATTGTTTACTATTTTGCAAGTTGTAAATTATTACAGTTTTTTGATGCAATCCTTTTATTATTTATCTATGTTTGAAGGCCTCACCACCCTCACTTCCTGTCTTTGCCTTCTCATCTTGTATTCAGATGCTTTTTCTTATTCCAATTTCAATAATATTCATTAGTTATTTGCTTTTACCATATTAATCCTTGCCTCATCTTTATGTAAATATTTAAACAATATACTACCATGCCTCCTCCTATATTTTTTTTTAAATATAAAATAAATTGAACAATTAAACCCTAAACTCTACAAAATAAATTTTGTAGAGTTTTAGCATATGCACCCCAAGGGTTGGTCATCTCAAATAGTTGCTCTAAGGTGGATGTGTTGTGCAACCCTTGGACATTGTCATAACTAAGTACAAAATGAGACCATGGAATATTTGACATATAAGCCATGTGGTGCATATTACTCCCATAATAAGGAGGCATTTGGCAATGGGTGGTGATTTGCCATGGTTGAGTATGAGCTCCTTCATATAAGGATCAAGTCCAAAAATTCCCATATTAAATTATTTTTCCATCTTTGAAAACAGTCTTTCATGCTTGTGAGCATTTTGGTGCCCCCCATAGCTTGACATGTTGAGAATTTCTTATTGCAAAACTTGCAGGACAATTGGTGTTTCTTAGAAATAATCAATTGATTATTAGCGTTTTCATTTAGTTTTTGAGCAAAAATCGGTGAATCCTTATGTTTGATCAATGATTTGCAAATGAAATCAGAAGAGGATCCATCAACCATTTTGTTATATATTATCCAAACTTGACAACTTTGAATCTTCAACATCAGTGAAAGATGCCTCTTCAATCTTACACTTGAGTTTCCTAATCTCAACATCCTTATCAGAGAGTTTTTCGACATTATTGTGATAACCACCTCCAAAGAATGTGTATATTTGCTAAAAATTGTTGTATAGTTACGTGACGTTGAATAAGGGGTATTTTTTTTATGAGAAAATTAAATATTACGTATTTCATAAAAGGAAATATAATTGGGATAGCTGCATAACGTAACCTTGTATATAGTAACAAACTTATTCATAAAGGAAAAAAGATAGAATTCAACATTTAAATTTTCCGAACATGTATAGGGGTCCCATATGCTTAGCACCAAGGTAAAGAAGAACAAAGTGTTAGCCTCCGCAAGGATATGAAGCTTCGTGTAGTAGCTGAGTCAAGTTCTTCAAGCTAATGTGAAGATGGTGATATACTGATATCACCAAACACTTTGATGATCTCTCAATTGAAGAATTAATTATGACTTTGAAATCATAGTGACATTCTAGTACACCATTATGATGTAATAGTCATGATAGTTTCATTTTGATGTAGTCTCTAAAAGAGGTAACATTTGATATTGACTAATTTTTCAGAGGTGAACATCTTCTTCATCATTTGATGAGCTTTGCAGGTTTCTTGTTTTTTCTTCTCCTTGGAACTCACGATTCTAAACTATACTTGAATTTGCTTATTTTGAGTTTATTTACTAAAATACTTAGTAGGAATATTAATTTAAATATTGTTTCATCATTCTTATGATTTGCATATCTAAGTGTTTATCATAATTAAAATCATTGGTCAGTTTTGGATTTAAAAATTTCTATGCTAAGCATTAGAGTTAAACGTGTTTGGTTGTGTCAAGTGCCACTTGACAAAAAGGTTTTATGATCACGGATGCCAGGTGATAATGAGTCTCACTAAGTGTTGTCACCATAATGAGCAAGAATGCGTTAAGTATGAAGGTAACAAAGAGTTACTCTTTCTCTTAGTGTCTATGGTGTTAAGTGTGGGATGTTCCACACTAAATGTAAGTCCCTTGAACATATAAGTGTGATATTGAATAATTAGTAGTGAGAATTGAGCCTTACCCTTAGGACTATAACCAAGACATGAGAATAAATGTGATTTGAGATCTCAGTATTGAAATTTGGGACATGAGTTATAAGTGATGAGAATGATGTGAATTATATATATATATGAACATACTTGTATGAAACACACACTATATGCATAAAAACTGAATTTTGAAGTAACTCATCAAATAGAATTTAGGGATCATAGGAGTGAATCCTATGTTAGAGTTTACATCAAGAATCTTTGGATTTGGACCCTAGGTCTACTAGGTATGAAATCTCCATTTAGCTAAAATACATAATAACATTAATTTAAAAAATATTTTATTGCAATCAATCAATTATTTTTTTCTTAACCCTAAACCTAAAATTAATTAATTAAATTAATTTATTGTTTAATTACTTCCTGACTTGATTTGATTTTTAAATTATTTACATAAACTATTAACAAATTAATTTAATTTTTTAAAATCTTTCTAACAATACAATAATAATAGGTTTAAATATGTTATTTGTCTCTCAAGTACAATAATTATGTGATTTTAGTTTTTCAAATTTTAATTGAGCAATTTTAGTTTCTCAATTTAAGTATTCTAATATTGTGATTTTAATTTCAAGTATCACAATTATACAAATTTTTACATATTTAAGTTATATGTATTAGTAATTTTAGTAATAATATATATACATACACACACACATACATATATATATATATATGTATATATATATATGTATATATATATATCATTTAATACATGAATAAAAAATTATAATATATATAACTTAAATATGTCAAAAATTATATAATTGTAACACCTGAAAAATTAAAATTGTTCAAATAAAAGTTAAAAAATTAAAATTGTAATTGTAATACTAGAGGAGTCTAAAACACAATTAAACTATAATGGCAATATATAATAAAGATAATTTTGACTTGAGTTTTTAAAATAATATTGTTTAAATTATGTAAATAATTGGTTTTTATATTAAATTAAAAATATGAAATGTTTGAAAATAATATTTATTGAATGACATTAGTATTTCTTTATTGCTTCCGATTTGTGAAATAATAAAAAAATTGAGAATAAAAACAAAATCATATCTATGTTTCCATGTATAGAAGAATATATATAT